ATATAGTTAGAAGTGCTTTTAATCAGGTCTGGAAATACAAGATAGATACCAATTCAGATTGCCTAATTTGTATAATCAGATTCAAATAGCAACATGTGTCAAGCGTGTCCAGTTGTATAATCAATTCTGCTAGAATAAGATTCTGTGCTTTTGCAGAAATATTGCATTCCTGAGAAAAAATTTTTGAGTAAAAATGATACATTGAAAATACACTACATTCCTTGTCATTACTTTTCATCTTAAAAAGTGGAAAGAAGAGTGAGAGCAACTCTCTGTAGAAATGTATGAAGAGTAGACAGGTGCCACCAGCATGAAGTACCATGACATTCAGTACAATATTAGTCACTAAATATACATAAATTCAAAATAGGCAAATGGAGAAGACCACTGGAAAATTTCCCAATGTTGAGGAGAAACTCAATAAAATGATGTAAGGATGTATGTAAAAAGTATGATGTGATTATGTTGTGTTGTGGTGCTTCTAGGTATTATGGAAGAAAGGATCAAGGTACAGATGCATCTTGGTTGGAAGAGAGATGTAAAATTATGTGATGAAAGGAAGGGGAACTTATGCTATTTGTTGTCCTTTGTGGGATATTTCCATTCAGTTGAAGATTTTTTCTGTTTGAGGGTAAAATTTTTGTTGCCTAAGAAACACTAGAGGCTCTCTGACAAGCAGTAGTGTAAGGGAATACAGTTGGTATCTTGAGTCCCTGGCTTTCTTTTAAGCTGTCACCAAATTATGCATCTCACTTAAGAAAAATTGCTTCACATTTTTTTTCTAGTGGAACAGAACCAACCACTTCCATCCCCCTGGAACCAATGCAAACAGTGAGAAGTTGGGTGAGCTAAACTTATTCACATCAGGCACAATGTAACCTGGTTGGTTAATGTGCTGGATTCAGGCTTTTCTGTTCCAGGTGGAGCTTCGGTTGGAAAGGTTTTGCTGACATTGGCAACTTCAGTCAGGCAAAAATGGCCACCTTGCTGAAAGAGGAGCTCAGCATGGCAAAGGACCAGGCTTCTGCAGTACGTTCTGCCAGAAACATTCACTCTTAAACAAAGCCAAATATGAAAAAAAGGCTACTGTCCAAGTAATTTCTTCCTCAAAAATCACAAAACACATATTGAAGTATGTGAGAGAAGAACCTGAATAAGAACTTATTAATACCATTGGAATCTCAGTGCAGACTGTTATATATAAATTAGCTATTTTTTTTCTTTGTGAAACTGCACACAGCATTCATACAAGAGCAGGATGAAGTTTCCCTCATGACTCTACACAACATGTCCAGCTGTGGGCTCCCCAGTACAAGAATGTGCTGGATAGAGTCCAATAAAGGTGCAGAAAGAGGATTAAGGAACTGAAGCATCTCCCCTGTGAGGAAAGGCTTAGGGTGCTGGGACTGTTTAGCAAAAAAGAGAATGCTCATGGGGGGGGATCTCATCACTGTGTATAAATGGGGGTTAGTACAATACAAAGATGCATATCCAGTTTCTTTTCAGTGGTGCCAAGTGACAGGACAAGAGGCAATACATACAGTTAAACATGGAAAACTCTGTCTGAAAGTCAGGATACACTTTTTTTATTGTGAGAGAGACAGACAAGTTGCTCAGAGAGGTTGTGAAATCATCACCCTTGGAGATATTCAAAAGCTGTCTAGACAAAGTCCTAAGCAAAAAGCTTTAGGCAGTCCTGCTTGAGCACAGAATGTTGGACTAGGTGACCTCCAAAGGCCCCATCCAGTCTCAGCCTGTTTGTGATTCTGGTCCTGTATCTGCACTCTGGCTCTAAAGAGAAGATTTTAATTTATACAAAAGTGAAAGAAGGCATCTTCATTCAGTTATGGATAAGTCAAGAATTAGTAGAAGTAGTTTTCAGTTTATGTACTCTAATACTTAAGGCCTGCAGGAGAAGTAAGTGGATAAATCTATTTCTCCATAGACAAGAATTGGGAGTGGTAACTGAGTTGTAAGTAGAACTGTGACTTGAAGATGATATTCTCATTGAATGGATGCATGTGGAATTTATCTCTTGGTTTCAATGCCATTCACTTAGCATGGTCAATTATTATATATATTGTCTGCCAGATGACAGATGAGTGCAACTTGAAATGGTAAGATCAAAGCCTGCAATTGTGTTGTAGAAAAGATAGCTTTGAGGTGATACTTATTAATTCTCCTATGCCAATTTAAAGTTCTGATCTGCAATTCCTATTTTTGGTATTGGTAGTATCAGTCTTCACAGCTCTCACTTTGCCAATACCAAGATCTTCCCATCTCATGCAGTGACATTTATAAAGCAGGTTCCACTGATTCAAGCATAGTGGAAGCCAGGAGTCTTTCCAAAATTTTGACAAAATCTTTCTTTGTGACCTTTTTCCTCCCTTCAGATATCAGTTAAATTTTTCTTTGGCTCAGTTTTGCTGTCTCTAGATAAAAATTACTACCTGACATAGCTGCTGTAAAACTTTGTTCATGGCCTGCCAAAGTGCTTTGAGACACTGAGATTTAGGCACTGCAGAACTGCCTGCCTTACATAACAGCTGCAGGCTCCTGTGCCTGGGGGCTGGCCTCTAGTAACTCCTCTTCAAACAGGGCAGAGCAGAGCAGCCAGGCACTAACAGCCCCTCCTGGTCTCTCGGGAAAGCATTACACTGGTTAAATGTCCTCTGTGAATTATTATCTCAGATGATATATACCTTGGGTTTTTTTGGTTTTTTTAAAGGTGATGATATAATTTAGATATTTCAAATATAACTGATTTTCATCCTTTGAAGGAGAGGAACTTAATTTGTGGGTAGCAGTTGTGGTTTTGAAGATTCATGGCCTTTTGTGATTCTTCTTATCCCTGTTATTTCAGATGAGCTAATAAAAGCTTCTTAGCATTTCTCCTTAAGATTTTGCTACAAAGCCTTGCTAATGTCCAATTGGTGAAAACTCTAGAGTTGATAAAGAAACATAATTTATAACTGTTGGGTTGATTTAAGGCATTCTGCCTGCAGGTGGTCCCACAGACATAGCCCACATCTCCACCATGCAGGTCTGAGAGCCCTCAGTAGCCCTTGCAGTGAAGAGTCTCCGTGGCTGTCAGTATGTTTATGACAGAAACATGTTGGTTCACAGCTTTGATCACACTGCTGCAACTTTGCAGCCCTCATTCAGGCTGCCTGTAAGCTGACTTTTCCTTGCTTTACAGCTCAATGTGCATTTGCTGAAGCCCTGGGGCTAAGGGGAGTGCCAGGCATTGGCTTGGCCTTACAGGTGCTTACACTGGTATGGTGATGCTCCTTACCTGCTACCTCTGCTCTTTTTCAGTTCATACGCTTCTGATTTTAATAGAACCACTGTCATTCCTTGTGTAACTTTTTTCTTCCTCTTGTCCTCATTTTCTCTTCTGGAAATCCTGGCTTAATATCACATGCTGAATAAATGAGTGGCAGTTTGCTGGGATGGACCTTATTAGTGGGCATCACTGATTCAGGTTTGTGTAAAATATAGAGGCATTTCCAATGAAAATAGCTGGATTTTGCATGTAGGAGATCAGATGAAGGGATCCTAGAATAGCAGACATTTTACATATATTTATTTTTGGCTTTCTAGTCTTTAGCAGAAATGTTTTCCTATTTCAGATTCATTTGGGGCAGCACCATTTAAAATGAGGGGCTGTAAGGAAATTTACAGTACACTTATTCTTCTTTTTACTTTATACCAAATACTAAATAAAATGCAATGTCACAATGTTTATGTCTTACCAAATATTGTTAAAAATAGGTTTAATAGCAACTTCTAATGTTTTTGGGTTTTTTGACAGTATAATTCAGCATTGCTTGTTTTTTGTTTTTTTTTTTTGAGGTTCATACCCTGGTAGTGAGGGGAATAATGGATAATATCTAGCCGTAAAGTGACTGGGTCAAGAAATCGTCAAATACCTGCCAGAAAAAAATAAGATTTGTAGATGTGTTCTGACTGTATAAACATTTTTACAAGTGTATTATTATAAATCAAGTTAATTGCGTTGACTTGTTTTCCCAGTTTAAAGACCTTGGGTGCATAGCAGAAAATAGAGAAGAGGAGGTTGTGTTGAACAACTAGAGGGCAGTGATGGGGCCTGCAGAAAAGTCAGAGTTGGGCACATTTGGCTGCACTCCCACCCTTTCCTGCCCCTTGCTCCTGCATGCAGCAGTCTCCCAGTGCCATGGCTTGTGAGGACAGTGACCTACATAGGAGTCAGGCTTTAAAACTGTAATAAGTCTGCTTCTACCAGAGACATGTTTTGTAATCTGTCTGGTGACGCAGTTATCTAGTTTGAATGTGTGCCAGTAATTCTGTGAGGCAGGCAAGTACAGAGGCAGTGCTGAAGGATTGCTCCCGTGGTCCTTTTCAGGCTGTTTACAGACACCAAAAGCTTGCAGAGTCAGAGAGTGAGCTTTATAGGGCAGAGATGCTGCGCTATGTTTGCAAGCATTAGCGCATTTTTATGGTACTCATTAATAATCACATGCACATACAAACTTTAAAAAAAAGAAAGAAAAAGGCAGTAGAAGATTGGCCCAGGAGCCTTTGCAGGTTCAGTGATACACATAGGAGCTGTGTACCCTATTTGGCTGCCTACAATTCATGCAGTGTTTTTACCAACCAATTGTTCTTCCCATGCTTGGGGTGGAAAAATAATTTTGGTAAATATTTCTTGGATTTGTGAACTTAGATGACAATTAGATTTTATCAGATGTGTGGCTAGCCAGACCCTGCACAGCTGGCAGGAGGTAATGGAATTTGGAAGAGCGCTTGTGTTTAACCATTTTGCAATTGGATTTGGTTTATTGCTTTCAGAATTCAGTAGAATATTTCACCCTCTGAACCTATTTTGAACACATTAGGAAATGTTTTAAAGGGCAGCTGGCTTCCCTGATTTGGTTTCAAGTATGTCCACAAAACATTTATCACTTTAAACTATAGCAAAAACTTTTCCTTTGAAAGGACTTCTTTTCTCTTTCTAGGAAGGCTGTACTAGCTCCTTTCCCCACAGGCTCACCAAGCAAGCTGTGTAAAGAGAAGTGGCTCCTGTGGCCGCTAAAGAAAACAACTGAACCAGACAGGCATTTGCTGAGAGCTCAACCTGGAGTTTGTGCCAGAGTGAGTACACAAGCATTACTGAGAAGCTTCTTTCTTCTGTCAGACATCAGAATTGTTTTCTTTTCTGACCACAGGCAGGGGGTGCTTGGAGTGTGCCAGAAGCCGAGTTAGACTCCATTGGATAGCTATGGCAGCGTGTGCTCTCGGAGAGGGCTCCGTGAGGGCAAAGCTGACGCGGGGGAGGCAGGGTAAATGTCACTGCATTCGCTGAAGCTGAAGTCAGGGCTGCTTTCCAGCCAGCAAGCTCACATTTCCCTCTGCAGTGTGCTGCCATTGCAGCACTGGCTGGTTTTCACCATTAGCTAATAACTTTCTGCATTGCAGCTCTGCACCCATGCAACTTTGTTGCTTTTATATTTTCCTCTCATAAGAGAAAATTTCAAAACTTACTTCCTGTGAGGCACACAGTTCTAGAAAATAGTCTTCTTTTGCAGCTGGAACCAGCAGAGGGTTTTCTTATGCAGCAAGGGAAGAGTTTTACAGATTCCTTAAGAACACTCATCTCCAGGCTGTGCAGTGGAGGGAAAGCTGGTATCTCTTGATAACATGGATTGTCAGAAAGGGCTTGGCCAGAGGTCTCCTTCCTGTTTCTGATGATAGAAAGATTTGTATCGGATGTGAAGTGATTGTGAAATCCAAACCCAGATGATGAAAAGAAACCCTAATTTTTAGCAGTTCAGAGGAACATTGAGAAGCATTTTACTAACTTATGTATTTCATGTCTCATCATCTATGAGAAGCTGGATGAAAGGAAAATGAGAGTCACATCTCAAGACACTGTGCTGCTGTAGTGTAGGTGTCCAGATGCTGATGTGCCCAGACAACTGTGTAACCAGGTGTGGAACTTTTGGCCTGTAAAACTGTCATCATGAAGATGAAACATATGGAAGACTGCCCTTTAAAATTCTGAGGGAGCACTGGCATGTTTCTGAACTGATGCCGTAAAATAAAAGTATCCACTAACAAGCACAGTTTGTAGCTTACTTGTCCTAGTATTTAGTACTGCAGAATCTGGAAATGTTTCATACTTCCAAATACCAAGCTCCTGCTTCAGTTATTATTGTGGATTTGAAGGTCGAACTTTGGGGCTACAATTCTGGAGGTGTGTGGAGATACTAAAGCAAGGGAAATATATCCTGTGGGAAGCCAAAAGTAACTATGGTCAGGGCAGACATCTGATCTTACTGGTGTAGCTTTGAAGTAAAGACAAGTAATCTTCAAGACCTAGCTGAAAATGTAAGTAGTTATATAACTGAATACTGAAATTTCTTGTAATTATACTGTTTGTTTCCTTGGTAGTTGTGTTTTAATACTCCTAACATACAACAATGAAATAACAGAATTTCAAAAAGAAAAAAGTGAGATATTGAAGGTTCCCATTACTACTGCTTCTTTTCATAGGTTTCCTGCCCTGATAAAATATTGAACAGTTTTTGAGTTCAGCTTTTTAGCTTTTGAATATTGCTGTGAATTTGTGAGGTGAGTGTAACTGCTACCCACTGATACTTACTGGGGGGTTAATGAAGAGAAACTGGGCCAGGTCACCTGGACCCTGAATGTCCAAGTAATTCATAATATAAACTTGCTAACCTGAAGTTACTGTATCTGAATACCCTAAGTTGTCATGAAAAAAAAATCCAACAAAAACTAGTGTCTTTTAATATCTCAGCACATTCATCAGCCTAAACACCATTTTTATAAAATCTACTATTACATACTTACCAATGTGTTTATCAATATGTCACATAGAACTGTGATGAATCATTGCAACTACTCCTATTAGACAAAATAATTTAATGAGCCACATCTGTTAAAGCTGGTTTTGATTTTTTTTCAATCCTGCCTATTTGCTTTCTTTGAAAATAACTTTAGTAACTCTGCAGAATATTTTCCTTTAATTAATTCAAAATAGATGTGGAAGCAAATTATCTTTCAGATATATTCCCTTTTGCTTCAAAACTAATTTTTTAATGGCCTTCAGTTTAACAAAGGGAAATTACTTTATGTACTTCAGAGGGGTATGCTGCATGTTCTTCCACGAGTTTCACACAAAAACTTTGTGCATTGGTGTAATGGAATCACGTAGCATACTCAACCTTTGGGCCAGTTCTTACCCTGGAGCACCAAGAAATTAGTAATTAGTTATCTTTCACTTAAAAGGAGGGGGAAAGGATGTGTCTGTCTCCTGGTGTTATGTGCCATTTCCTCAACTTTTTACATTCTCTTTGGAGGGAAAATCCCTGAAGTGAGAATCTGGCATAAAAATACCAGCTGTGGCTCAGACAGATAAGAGTAGAATATGACATTATTCCATATTTTTATGGAGTGTCCACAGTCATACCATAAACATGTTAGAGGTGCTTGTAAAATAGTCTTAATAGTGCAGATCTAAATCTGTAATCTGAAATAATGCAATAACTGCTTTCTATCCCATTGAGCAATTTTGGTTTAAGAAGTTTTACTTCAAATTAAGCCACCATTAGAAACATCTTCATTCTTTGTGTAGTTGATGCTGCATTACAACTTGCCAAAAGAGGTTTAAGGAAAAGTCACTTTGACCATTCGAGAGTACAAAAGTGTAAGAACAGCAGGCTTTTGTTTTGTGAATTTTAGGTAAACAGGAATAATTGAACCACAGGGTGATTCCTCTCTACCTGACAGTTTTTGTCTTGGTTTTTTTCTTCATAATTGTTGACATTCATTTATTTCTTCTACTTAAGAAACAACTTGGTTTTCTTAAACAACTTGGTGTCCTTCTTAATTGTGCTGCGCCTTATACAATTAGTTTGAGTGGTGACAAGAGTGATGTGTGTCAGTGGCTTTCCAAGCTCTTAAGATGTCATAAAACAGTGTTTTATGGATGGTAATTTCTGTGTATAGATCCAGTGCCTTGGAGTTTGGGTTCCAGAGACCAGTGGTTTTCAATATTGCAAGGTTTTATTTTCTTCTCACTAAAAAGAAATTTTGGCTAGCTGGTTTTGTGATGCCTGAAGGTTCATAAGCTCCTCTTGCGCTTTCCTTTGTCACAGGGCCACATTAATTTTGGGAATGGAGATTCCAGTGTGGAGACAATAAATACTACTATTTACCTATTAAGTAAAAATATATCCAATCTCATTAAGGTATTCAGAATTTCAGTAAAGACCAGATTTTTCTTAAGTTAACTTCTTCTGCTCTGATCTCTTACTTGGCTGTGTTTTTTAGAACTATTACAAGAAAATATAGATAGGGATGTTTTTTGTTTAATTTGAAAATAAAAAATAAAGTGAAATAAGCAAAATTCTCTCAGAGAAACTCTGACTATTAAAAAAATTAATCCCTCTTATCAGTTTCTTACATTTGTACTTTACTTTTAATTTTGTGTACTCTGTCCTGTAGATCTGGTGTGATAGTTGGCTACTTTAATTACTGCCTCTTCAGAAAGGTGAGTGTTTGTAGAGTGTAAAGTGTCATTTTCCTTACAGCCATAGGTAGCTGTGATGGGAAGAGGATGAAAGTAGAGTATTTCCAAATGAGCAGTATAAGTGTGCACCCTTACAGTCTGCAGTTACTGGGACAGAGTACCAGGTGTAAAGGTACAAAATTCAGAGGATCTGAGGATCCTTTCCAAAAGCTCATCATTACTCAAACACAGACTAAGCAGGTATGGAACCAGTGGTGTGCTCAAGGTAGATAAAGTATAACAGCAGCTGCTGCTGCTTCTGTTCTTCTGGGTTCTTTCCTCAGATATTCTCAATAGCCCACGTCTCTGGGTTAGCAGTGTTTTTCTAATTAAACAGAATTTCAAAGACAAATGCCACTCTCTTAATGCCAAAGTTTGTCACAGACAGGATTTCTTACAATAGACAGACAGACCAAAGAGAAGAAAGGTTAGCTGCTGCAGCATTCTTTTGGCTCTGTAAACAGCAGAGTGCCTCAAATCCCACTGGCTTTGCAAATGTTAAGGCTATTCAGCAGCTGTAAAATTTGCTAAAAGTCTCAGGCCTAAGCCTGGGAACCACTCAGGAGTGACAGTATGTTACAGATTTCTTACCAGCGTGTGGCTTAAAAATGCTGGGTTTGTACTTTGATCCATTGTCATCCTTGTGAAGTTCCAGTCCCACAGGTGTTCAGCTGTTTGACTGGTCCAGTTTGCTAACTTCACACAGCCAACCTAAAATCATCTTGGGCACCTCAAACTATGTTCCCAGTCCCTCCTTTTCAATCTTTTGTAATGTATGATGATACATTAAGGCTCAGTTTTTCAAGCATGTTCTTTTAACTTTTTTTTTAAACCTTCTTTGAGAAGACAATCTGTTTTCTGACTAATAGTGTAGGATCAATGTGCTGTGTTCCACTGTGCTGGTATTCTCCAAAATCTATGTAGAATTCCTCAACAGGAATGTGACTCAAACTTGCTTCTTGAGCTCAGAACAAAAAAGCAGTCCAGAGAAATAAAGAATATTTTTCTAGGGAAGCTGTACTGTCTACAGTAATTTAAAGTAGTCTTCAGAAGACACTTTATAGGGTTGAGAATCCACAAATTGTCAGAGAAATTGTGGAGGACTCAGACTTCTGGGACCTGTGAACTTAATTGTATTTGTTCTTTCCTAGATATTTAATCTCTTTCCATGCATCTGATGTGCCTTGCCCATGATAATTTCATTTTGTATTTCGTGCTCTGCTGAAGAGTGAGCTGAGACCTTCCTGTGATGTGTCCCCTGAGTTTAGGTCTCTACTAGAAAGAAATTGCTGTAAACAATTGCAGTTGTTTTTAATGACTGCAAGTTTTTTTCCATACTAGGTGATGCAGATGTACCTCCCCTTCTGTGGGATTGCCATATCCAATGCCCAGCTATTTGCAGCTTCAAGGAAGGAATATGACAGAAGCAGGGTAAGTGCAAAATGTGCAGTGGACCAGCATCAGACTTTTGTTCATGCAAATTACAGCTATGCATATGTGTTTGCTAAGCAGACAGTTCTATTTCAAAAACTGTATTTTGAAAAGATCCCTGTTTTGATTGAGGCAGCAGGCAGACAGTGAGGGAGGGAAATCCACTTGTAGTGGTGGCTGTGGTTTCCTGATGTCAGCTGCACATCTTGAGGTGCTCAAACAATTGCATTTGTGGCACAGACGGTGCAGGAGAAAGTGTTACTTAGGCAAAGGTTCAAGCTCTCATAAAATTCTATTCATCTCAGGCCTCTGCCATTCTGAATTTTTAATATTTAGTTCATGTGCAAATAATGTGGATATACCTTTATAAAATTAAGCAGGGAAAAAACCCTATATGTGAAGGGTTTTGACAGCATGTCTCCATAGAATACACACTGTGCATGCATTGGGACAGGAGGCTCTGAAGTGAAAATAATGCTCTGCTGCCCTGTCATTCCCTTGTCAGAGAGGTCTTTTTATTTTTTGAAGAAACAAAATGGTAATTTTGAGGGGTTTTTAATAATAGTTGGCTTCTTTTTTATCATCCTTTCTACAATGACAGGGAACTATATTTTTTTAGCTTGGATCACAGGTCCAGAACTTCAGTAGAAATACATCTAGTGATATTGAACCTGCTATTCCTTGACAAAGTATTAACAATTCATTTCAATTTTGTTGCCATAGTCATTAAGACCTTTCTTTGAATGAAGATTTCAAGGGATCACTCATATAAAATCGATCCCAGATATGAAACTTCCTTTGCAATGCTCCATGTATTTATTAGTTTACAACCAATGCAAGAGTTTTCTGTCCTTGTATACAGGCTCTACTGGAAGTAGTGAATGACCTCTTTGAGGAACAGACTGACTTAGAGAAAATTGTCAAGAAAATTATGCATCGGGCCCAGACCCTCCTGAAGTGTGAGCGGTGCTCAGTGTTACTTCTGGAAGACATTGAATCACCAGTAAGTAGAGTTGCATGTCATGTGTAAGTACAGAACAGCAGGTGTTTTTCAGGGTGTCTTTATCCCAATAGGCTTACACTGTGATAGCAGTAAATTTTTACACTGAGCAGGTGAAATGGAAATCCAGCTTTCAGAATAATTGAAGTATTTTTGGTTTTTTGCAATTACTCTGTCTACTTGACCCATGAATAATTATTTCATTGCAGAGGTCTGTTGAAGAGATGGATGTAAACTGTATGAAAGTATTTGACAGTTTTGACAGGATCTTTCACTGGGACTTTGCAGTAACTGATATTCATAGGGTGTGAGAGCCTCTTAAAAAATGTTGGAAGTTTTTATGAGTATTGTTATTAGTAAAAAATTAAGTGGCTGCCTTTATATTGGTAGCTCTCTCCAGTGTTTTCAGGCTATTCAATTTAAGCTACTCTCCTTTCCACTGATTTGAGAAGTAGTTGAAGGACAAAACATTGTTTTTAATATCTCTTTCTCCCTACCCAATTATTATTTTTGTATTCACTGACTCTGCAGTTAATTATTTGTTGCTAGGCTTTGACAAGTCAGAGACAGAATCGTAAATTTGTTTGTATGGCAGAAAAAAATACCCATTCTTTTCCTTGGAGGAAAGATATGATTCGTATTTTATTTCAGTTAATAAAAATTAAGAACTTTCAATTGAGTATGCCCTAAATTATACCAGCTTTCCTAAAAGCAAGATCAAAGTTTTTATTTCACTTATGTTCTCTACTATAGAATTTTAATGTTTCTAGTTCATTTTCTCTTTCTAGATTCCCCTAGCCACCCCCCTCCCCAATTTTATAATTGCAATATATAATTCTACTACATTCTTATGAAATGTCACTGTGTTTATAAGTATAATATGATTTTTATTTTTCACAGAAATGTCCATTGTGTTAGGAAGTTGTGGGTGGCAGTTCATTTTTTTACTCTTGGTACTATTTCTGCCTTTGAGCCTGGAGGGACTTTTCACAAACCACAAGCAATGAGTTTTTATTCCTCTAGACAAAATTGTGAAATACGGACAAAAATCTTAAACTTTTTCTAGATGGTCATATATCTTAGGTTAATTTGGAGTAGAATAGCATCTTACCAACCACTTGGTAATTTTTACAAGTGGCAAAACAGTTAGTTTTCCTGACTTTCTCCTATTTTGGAGGGTTATATCAAAATAGATCTCTTTAGAGTAACTCAATGTCTAACCATGTCTAAAATACTGTCATTTGTACATTGTGCAGAAAGCTTTTATGATTCAGGAACAAAGTGAAGATGGGAACACATCCAAAAATAAGGCCTCTGTTCTGTGTCACTTTTTGCCACTCCTAAGATGTTTCACTTATGTGTTCCTGACACATATGTTCAAGTGATTGGTTGCAGTTAGTAATGCAAAGCTGCCTTTCTGTTTATTTCCCTATATTAAAAAAAGTGAAGTTTGAGTAAAGCTCCATAATACATGTCCCAAAAGCCTTTAAAGGGAAGCATATATGCTTGTGGAAAAGAGTTTTCTGAGAGAATCTGAAGATAGAATTTGATTTTATATTGATTTTTAGGGAACTGTGCACAGCATGTATTTTAAACATGAATTCTCCATTGAGAGACTACAAATTTGTACTTTTATCCTAAGACTATTGGATAAAAATACAGTTTAAGCAGAGGAACCTTACATTACTGTTTTTTTAGATGTTTATTTATCTTAATAGCAATCTTAAGTTACTTCTTTTGTGACAGGTGGTGAAATTTACAAAATCTTTCGAATTGTTATCTCCAAAATGCAGTGCTGATACTGACAACAGGTTAGTGCTCATGTCTTCTGTGGTTATGGATAACTACATTTTTCGCATAGTTTTCAGGTCTGCTTGGTCAAGATTTTATTTTCTGATGGAACTTTGTGTAGATCTGATTGAAGAGTGTGAGCCTACATTTTTTACTCAGACAAGACACCTGCTTGCTTTAAATGGAGGCTTGCTTGAATGAATATATGTGCCTATATTTTTTTATATATGTATGTTTGTGTGTGTATACATGCACTAATGTTGTATCAGTGTCTCAGGTAAGAAACCAGGGGAAAACTGATTTTTTATGGTTGAACTCATTGATAACATGAAATTGTTGTTTTGCTTGATTAATATAGAAGTAAAAATAACAAAATTATTTTAGATTGTTGATCTCTTACAAAATTGTTTTGTACAATTGTGTTGAGAGGTTTCCAGTAAAATTTTATTTCTGCTGTTGTCAAATTGGAAAGCCTAGAAACCGCAGAGCATATGTATTTCCTAGAAACTGTGTTCCTGTGACTAAATCTTGTTTGGGAGCCCAGTCAAAATGGAAGTATATGTTTTGCTTAGTAGGATCTGTAAACACTTATAAAGGGCCAAGTTTAAGTAGCAAAAGTAAGATTTTTGTTCACGTGAGGTTGTTATATCAATCCCTGCAAGGTTACACCACTGGTAGCAGTTCACATAAAATGTCCTATGTAGCAAATGAGGGGATGAGGATTCAGGACTATTGTGAGAACATTTCTTCCATCTTGCAGGGCTCAGTGTTTATCACACAGGTTTTATGCAGATTAAATCATACTGATTCTGAAGGAGAATTTTCCATATCAAATGGCTGTCATGGTGATAAACCTTTTCATGGATTGATTTCACATCATTAGAAATGGAAAGTGTTAGAAAATTTCTAAGATGTGCAAGCTCACATGAGAGTCCTGGGCCACACAGAAATATGGGTAGAAGCTATCTCCTTTCCATGTCCTGGTATGGGAATGGTGAAGCAAATGGAAAACAAGCAATAAAAAATAGGAAGATTTAAATATGATTAAATAATCTGTTGATTCATCTGGGAATCACAAGTTGCTTTTGACAAAGAGTTCTAGAGTAGCAGTTGGTCTTTCCTAGGGGGTGAAAATACATTTCTTTTATTCAGGGACAGGAGTATGAATCAAGGAATGTGGTTGTTATTCCTGTTTTTCTCAAACTTGATCAGTAGCCAGATTAGTCAAAACAATGTAGAGTGGTATCAAGATAACCAAGCTGGCTTATTTCTTGTTACCATAGTTATATTAGCATGTTGCCACAGCAGTTTGTAGTAGCCTGCTCTGCTTGTAGTCAAGTCAAGAATATTTTAACTTTATTCCAAGACATGAATAAACACATAAACTGGTAGCTAGTCTTCATAAGACTCATAAAGGTATATTTCTGTGCATTTTAACATAAAGATGTATCACTTTTTCTGTGACTGTTTTTTCCCTTGGAAAGTGAAGTTGCTTTTACAAAGACCAAGGTTAGACTGGCAGATATGATGTCACATTTGGATCTAGCACAGGCACAGCTTGAGTTATTGGCACTATTGTGCAAAAATAAAGGTTATTTAGGATACAGAACAATGCCGCGAGCCCTTGACATTTGAGCATTTTCCTAGTGAGTTTTGCCCTTTTCATTCTGCATTCTGCAGCTGTAACTGATGTCAAGTCATGAGACTTTTCATGTGGGGAAAAAAAGATGAGTTTCTTCATCATTACAGCAGTTAAGAAAACATTATTTCTTTGAAATTTTAGTTGAAATCCAGACATTTCAGGCTGAGAACAGTTCCCATTATGTTTTATCTAAATGAGAAAGAACATCCTAAGACAATATTTCATGGATGCCCCAATATACTTTCTCACACAGTTTTAGAAGTTGGCTTTTCTTTTGCCTTCATAAATCTGCATGATGGCAGCTCATCTGTTAAATACCTAAATATCATAATAAATATTCATACTTATTTTCTTTGCTGTTGTTTGTAAAGAAATGTCTTGGAAGGCCACACTTGACTCTTTTTGTTCAGTTTCCAAGCTTTCATCACACACCACCATCAAGTTTCTTTATTATCCATACTGGCACACTGATGCTCTTTTTTTTCCCAGTGATTTTCTTCTTGAAGTACAAGTTTCCCAAGTCCCCTAAATTTTCTCTCCCTTTGAAAAAATATTACAGAAATGTCAGAATCCTTGGGGGTTCAGTTCTGGTATGATCTAGATGAAGATGAGCCTGATGGAATGTGCTGTGGAGTGTGCCTTTCCTGCACAGAAGCAGCAGTTTTGGCAGATGAGATTCCATTTTTGCAGGTAGCTGAGATGACAGCTCTCTAACCTGGGTACCAGTGGTAGTGGACAAGTCTCCTGCCTGGGCCAGAGTATGAGTTGTGTGGGCAAAAATATCTGTGCTCCTTCCCACTGTGGGCTGGTACAGAGGAAGGGCTGAAATCCTTCAACTGTTTTACTGTCCCTGGAGTAAACTGTGCCTGTCTTCTGGAGTATGGGTGCAGAGTGCTTGTTAGGAATGGAGAGATCATAATAGAACCCGCGTTTAAAACTTACTTATGAATGTTGTCGTGTTTCTCTTACTTGAATTAATTTGCTGCTTAAAATGCTTGACACCCCTATGCAGTCCTGATGTATGTGTCTTATATGATAATATCATTCAGATAAGTTATGGACTGGGAACTATGCATTTGAAATTAGATTCTTATCCTTAAAGATTTTTTGCTTCTGGAGTATTTGAAATAAATTAAATTATGAATTAAATGTTAAATTATAAATGTGATTTTTTTACTTAGCTTAAATCCCATTATATTTATGTAAAGCTTTCTGTCAAAGTGTACACATAACATTTATTACAGTCATTCAAAATTCTTATCCCAAATGAAAGTGGATTCCTCTAGATTTCTGTAAATCATTTTTTTTTTTACTTATAGCCTTTTAGGAATATTACATTTTCTTTTAGATAAGTGACATAGTTGAATTAGTCTCCAGAAAATCAATGCAATCAACAAAAATCAATCCTTTCTCTTTGATTGAGTCTTTCAAGGATTTTACTGTTCAGCCTGTTTTCATTCATGAGGAATGCTTTAAAGCCTCAAACTATTGTAGTCTTCTCCATAGCTTCTTAGTAACTTTTTTCTAAGAAATGTTTCTCAGGTGTTAAAATTTACTAGTTTTCTTTTTAAAACTAAGACAACAGGCATTTTTTCATTATGTTATTATATTATTATGAGTAGCCAGACATTGCTAATGTGAAGAACAAGCCTGAAATAAGTCAAAGAGAACTTTCCTGCTGATTAGGTGAGGTATGACATGAGGAATTTAAGGTCTGCTAAACACTGAGTTTTATGAGAAGCTGCAGTGGACTGTGGTGAGTTGAGGCCATAATTTTAGTGTCTTATGCTCATTTAGTGATAGCTCTCTAGCCCCTCAGTAACTGTGGCAGAAACTCAGCCAGGGGAAAAAAAAAAAAGGAAACCTTCATTTCCTGTGTAGCTACTTGGACCTACCTGCTGCAATATACTTGCAGGATTGATTTAAGACTCATTCAATGATCCCTTCTTTAACCATTCAGATAAGGCGTTTCAGGTGCCAAAATTTTTTTAAAAGTCATTTTGACAGGAAAAGTACTGAAAATAAAAATTGAAAATATCACAGATTATTAGATTAATTTAAAAACTCTTAAAAGTATATTTTTTTAGGTGACTATACAGAAAATATTTTTAGAACTGTTTGCCTTTCATGAGTAGTCCTGTATCCTACAGAAACTTAGAACACAACCCACTATTGACTCATAGGTAAAATCCATCAAATATTCTATTTACTTGAGACACCAATGCTGTTTTTTCAATAGAAAGAGTTATGTAAAGGAGAGAATATCTGAGGTACCATTTCAATAATGCCAAATTACTGTTCTATAGTTAATTTTTGATAACTATTAGTAATTGTGATTGGTTCTGCTGTTCCTATTAATGTGCATTTAAGACATGCTGGACTTGCAGTTAACGTTGACTGTATACTTTTCTTCCCTTGCCCTGCATTTTGATAGTTTCAAGGACAGTGTGGAAAAATCATCCTATTCAGACTGGCTGATAAACAACAGCATTGCTGAACTCGTCGCTTCCACAGGTCTCCCAGTGAACATCAGTGATGCCTATCAGGACCCCCGCTTTGATGCTGAGGTGGGAGATTTTTACAAATGGAATTAATTATATATTACTTTTGAGCATCACAACTAATTTAAAAATTTTGGTTTTATATCCAGGTGGCTGTGAGACATGTGAATATTTATTGAATTATTTTTTTCTATTCAGTAAGTTGTCGTGGTCTTCTATGGTTTTATAATGCAAACACAGATCACTGAATTAGTCTATGACTTTTAGCAGTTAGTCCATGATTCTTTTTTTTTTTCTGTTTATAAATGATTCCTCTACCAATTGCCTTGATACTTATGCAAACTGATTTTTATTGCTGAAAATTTGTTGGTGTTCAGTTTTAGCAGCACCAGCGTTGTTAGCTGTTGGGGTGACTGGGGCTGTTCACAGACAGAGTGTGAGCAGAGCTGGTATCCAGACAGACAAATGTTGTTTGTGATCTAACTTAGCCAACCAACAGCTTAATTTGCTCAAATACACACTGGATTGGGTACTTCTTCAAGATAAATTCACTCCCAATAAAAGTTGTTTGTGTATCTTAAGGCATTCATTTCCCATTAGAAAGGTGTAGCTACAGATAAAAATGTAAGTATTCTTAGCATCTAAATAAATGTTAGAGGTGTATGGAAGGACAAAATCTTCACTGAATTCTAATCCAGCATTACTGTGGAGGACTTGGCCAGCGCCTGGACAGCAAATTAATCACAGCCTTGGTCAGAAAGCTTCCTAAAATATATTGCTACAGTAAGTGTTCTTGGAAATGTTTCGTGTTGAGAGTTTGCTTGGTTCCAATTTTATTCCATGTGTCATTAAAGGGACTATCTCTCAAACCAGCAGAATTTTTTGAAACAAGAAAAAATAAAACGGGCCTGCTGTAGAAATATAAAAGAAAACTGCATTGATGGTAATCTGTTCAGAATTGCAAGTACAATTAATGCCTGGGGTATTTAGAGATGCTAACTTAAAGCATGCTAGTCCTTGATGTTTGCAATTGTACTTGTATTATATCATCTCCTGAATAATTCAGCTATCTCTTATTTGTTTCACAGTTAGTTCTTTCCAAGTTGGAGGCACTACCCAATATATATAAAGCAAATGATACAAAGGGCAATAATAATTTTCTTTTGATGGGTTCCTATGAAAATTTAATTCTTAAATTCAGTCTTTCTACTCAATTATTTCTACAGACAAGAGTAGTAAGAGGAACATAGTATCCCTTATTACTTAGATAGAATCAAATGTGTATTTATAGTTATGAACAGAAATTCTGTTCTCTGTTTCAGTTGAAAATCATCTCTTATTTTTTTTCTCAGAACACTACTTCTCATCTGCAAATGTTGATGCTCAATTTTCAATTCATTCATCAAGAATCTAATGCAAAAGTATTTTGCTGTTCATTTCAAGACGTACATTTTAATCAACTATTGCCCCATTCCCATGGATTTTAGGTGGCACTCCACACCAGTTTCAGTGATGAATTCTGAGTATGTACAAATAGGCAGTAATCTAATTAAAACCTGAGTTACATCTTTTGCTAGTAAGGACATCACAGTGATCCCATCCTGCTTCCCATATATGAATTAATGCTGGTCTTTTAGTTTTCTTCTATTAAACACTGCCTGTAGCAGTGGCAGTTTTAGTAAGAGAACATCTGATCTTCTCTGAGTGGACCCATTCCAGTCTCTGATCTCTTTTGAAAAACTGTTTTCACATTTCAATGCAGTGACACTAAAGAATAATGTTACTAATTGTAGAAAAGAGAGAATCAGTGAAATTTGAAATAAATTGTGAAGTTGTATACTGTATTAGCTAGAAAACAATAAATGAGGCAGTAAATTTTCATTGGAACAAAATGACCATTTATCTCAAATCTAGGGTTTGACTCCATCATCACCTTTTTTACTAACTTGCACTTCTGCACAATTCCCTACTTACTTTCACCTTTCTTCTGAAAATGTGTATTTCCTGTAAGCCTCCTTCTACAGCTGCCTTGCTAAGTCCCATTTCAGTTTGAGAATTGGGAAGGGTACTTCTAAGCCAAACTTGTTCAGTGAAAGTTATCTCTACTAATCCACCAGTGTAAGTAATCCAAAATTTGTCTGGATATTGCCTCAATTATAGTTTGTCTTTAGTGCCAAATCAGAGTCAAATAGTGCAGGCTTAATGTGGCAAAGATGCCAATGTTTTTATATTCTTCGGCAATTTTTAGAATAATCCCTATGACTTTTGGTTACTGTGAATGAAATTTCAGCAGATTTTTTCTGAGAGCTGATTCATATGAAATGACATTTATAATGTAAACTTACTTCTTGACATCTCTATTACTATGATTTTAAAAAATGAAAACAGCATCACTAATGGAAGCTCTCATTTCTACATTTTAGGCTGACCAAATTTCTGGCTTTCACATAAGATCTGTTCTTTGTGTTCCAATATGGAACAGCACCCACCAAATAATTGGTAAGGCTTCCCTCATGGCTGCGTCATTTTTGTGCTAATGTAAATTTAGTTTTATCTTTTTAATTCTATGTTCCTTTACCTTCTTTTTCCAAGCTGAATATTGTTAAGAAGTTACAGTACCTAGGATGCATGCTAAGTATCCAAGAAGGGATGTTTTGACTTGGATACTGTATGGACTTTTTCAGCTTTCCAGCTGTGTTGTTGTTAAGTTATATATTGTACTCAACTATAATAAGATGAAAACAGTAATTCTAACCATATTAGTGAAAAATGTTTTATCTGCATTGATGATTTCCTTGGGTCTCCTTCTTTAGTACATGGACAACTGTCTGCAGTCAAGCTAAGTGTTCATTTCCCTCTAAGGATAAACTCTGGGTGCAGTCAGGGAAGATTTGCTGGAGGGGCTTGGCAGTGGTTGGAGTTGCCCGTGTCAGTGCTGGTTGCTGGATCAGGATGTGACGGTTTCAGAGGATCTTTGATAGGATTCTTTGCAGCTATGCTACCCCAGCAGTTGGCCCTGTGTTATTACCTGCTTTTGGCACAAAAAGGAGTGCTTGTAAATAACAATGCCAGATTCCTGTGCTAATGCTCCTCAGAACTGACGTCAAAGCAATCACAATTTACACTGGCAGGGCAAGAGTAGATGCCTGTGCCTTGTGGCTGCCAGGGAGAGCTGAGATCAGAAGTGCGTTGCTGAAGGCACTTGGTGTCATGCAGGCTCTTTGAGCTTCTTTAGCAGAGGTGACGTGGGAGTTGTGCCTTTAAAAACACATCTTGTTGTTTGTTGTGAACTGTGCCTTATCTTCAAGAATGAGAAATAATTTGAACTCTTGACAGTGGATTACTCTTACAGTATTTTTCTAAGGGCTTATTGTAGCTAAATGAAATAGAAATGTTTGTTGTAGAAATCAGCATTAGTTTGGAAGATTCATTTGTTCATTGGCTCAGTAAATTAATGAACCAGTCATGAGTATAAAAGGGTTTATATACCCAGGTGATGCTAAACTAAGATTTTAGGAATGAAGGTACTGAATCAGTAAATTGTATTGGTAACTCCAAATTTTTACCACAACTTATGTGATTGCTGGTAGCAAAGTGATCAAGATCTTTCTCAAATAGATCTTAAACCTTTTGTGAAAAGCACTGTGAGTAACCTTTAGATTTGAAGTATTATACTTAGAGAGTAAAGCATAACAACTGAAAGTACTAGTATCAAAACAATCAAATTATTGCACATCTGTGTCTAATTATTTTCAGAATAAATATTTGCATTTTGACTTTCAGTTTGAAATATGTGGTTTACATTTTAACAATCAATAAAACATTCTGCATTGTGCATTAATGAATGAAGATTATAACTCATATTAACTCTTTCTAAAGGGGTAGCTCAAGTGTTGAACAGGCTTGATGGGAAATCCTTTGACGACGCTGACCAGCGACTGTTTGAAGTAAGAGGCATTCAGTTCAGCATTACCATACATTTCAGTAGCACTTGGTATTTTTCAGTAATCTGCTTCAGTCCACTCCAGGGATGGAGGGAGAATGGCTTGTCCATATTTTCAGTTTGACATTAATTCTCAGAAATCCTCACTTAGAAGGTGGCATCCTAATTAAAACAAGTTTCTGGCATCTAATCTCTCTTCTGGAGGCCAGTGACTCACCTGCATTCTTAAAATAACCTGTTTAAACATGATTATTCCTAATATTTCCATGCAATTTCTTGTAATGATTAAGCCAGTGTTCATCTTTGTGCTTGTATTATAACTGATTCATAATTGACTCTCTTTTTAAATTTTAGGCTTTTGTTATTTTTTGTGGCCTGGGTATCAACAACACAATTATGTATGACCAAGTGAAGAAATCCTGGGCAAAACAGTCTGTGGCTCTTGACGTATGTGTACATCTTTGTGAAACCTTTTCTTGCTCCTAACTGTCACATGTAAAGAAGCCCACTCTATTTTTAAAAAATATGATTATTTAAACTTCTCCAACAAAATTCAACAACGTAGCACAGTGATCTATTATATATCTGGAGATTTTAAACATTATCACATTAAAAATAATCTTGGTGAGAAAAAAGCCAGGAGTTTTGAGGATAGCTTAAGAAATTTACATTATACCTACTACAACAATAATTAAGAGCACTTTCAATGAAATTTCAGATCTCTCAAAAAAAGCATTATGCAAGACTGATTAATCTTAAAACATTGCTCTGAGGAAAGGGTAATATCACTAAGGTATTGGTATTGTTTTAAATTTCACATGTGATAAGAGAAGAAAATCATCTACTTATCCCTGATGTGTGCACCTTTTACCTGTGTAATTCCTTTGAGTTTCTCCCATACTTACCATTACAATAAGAACCACAAAAATAACATTGGCCTGAATGAGATATGAAATTCTTTCTATTAAAAGAAAAATCAAACCCAACTAAATTACTGTAAAGAGGCTTTTTTTTTTTCTTTGCTTTGGGGTTTGAGACATTAATCTGCATAGTGGGGTTGCATCCTGTGCTTCACATAGGCCTGTTAAGGCTTTCCAAAGCCAGTAAGACCCTTGTGTTGGAAATCCTAAGCATAAGCAACTTTCTTTATTATTTTTATATATCTACCCATGTAGGAAGAAAAGTTAAAAGCTTACCTTTTCAGGCCTCCTGCAAGATCCCTTACACTTTACATGTCATAGTCATGGATAACTCTTCGTATGTCCCAGGTATTTGTGGAATATGACACCAAAGAATGAGTGCTCCTCCTGGCAAGAAAAGCAAGCAGTGCTAGATGTCACACACAGATATATAAGGATGAAACTTCACATAGAAGTTTATTTGCTACTGAAATAAAAGAAAATTAAATATTTTTAGTTTAAAGTACAGCTTCTTTCTTTGATCTAATAAAGGACTAATAACCATATAGCTTACATGTATAGATTTGATAAATAGCCATTAATCTTCAATTAAGAGTAATTCTTTCTATAAATGGGCAACAGCTCTTGATTATATTTGCATGAAGTGATGAAAGATGCAGGAGAAAAGTACTGAACACTAGAATGGTATGAGATGGAGATGATTTTCACTAATAGAATACTTCGTTAGTATTTATGTATTTAGCTAAAATGGCAATAAATGGCACTTGAAAATTAGATTGATATCAGATGTAAAATGAATGAACTTGTTATATATCATAGTAAGATTCTTATCCATATATACTGATACAGATTTTCATATAGTATTCTGATAAGATTGACTAATAAATAGAAGAGAAAAACATAAATAAATTATCAGGAAAGTTTGCCATGATTTAAGGCCAGGCTAAATACTTTTTTTATACTAAGGACACAACATTTGCAAATTTAGTGAAGATTAGAATAATAAATCCTCAGGAAGACTGTTAAAATCTAGAGGGATATTATGAATACGGATCAAGGAGAATTTTGTTGTTAAGTGTAATCTGTCATAGCATAAGATAATTTGACTAATCTTACCAGTTTCTGGGAGAAGCTGCAGCATGGTCAGGCAGAAAAATAGATAGTATTTGAGAAAGGACATGATGTACAAAACAAATGAGTTTGTGGTTTGTATTTATTATTTTATAGTGCAGGAATGAATTCTGTTACTGTAAGAGGTGGCATCCCTAAAACTGAAAAGAGTAAAAATGTCTTGGGACTTAGTGCCACAAGGTGTTGCAAATCAACACCCCATGAGACACAGTTTAGTTGTTTGTATAAATAACAGAGACATTCACAGATGAAAATTATTTCCAAGTGAGAAGCCTGTAACAAAGCTGCAGCACATCAGCAGGTCAGGTGTTGCATGTGGGGAAGGGCCTGTCCTTGCTGGGAGTGCTCTGGCTCTGGGAGCTCCCTCACAAGAGCAGGTGTGCAGTACTTGGTACATTTTATTTGATGCTGCTCTCTGCAGAATGGTATTGAAGAGAATGTCAGACACAGCACAGAGGTGCTGATATTTGGATGAAACTATGTGCCACTAGTGCAGGCATTAAAACTTTTCAGTATAGGAAACGGCATTATTAAAAGTCCATAAATCTACTGTTATTTTTACATTAAATTCTTTCTCTTTTGATTGTAGAACTTCAGGAGAACAATGTAGGGATCCTTATAATATTAAATTACTTATTGTTCATTATTCCCTATAAAATTCCCTGCAGTATAACTGCCAAATGTATGCCTGATAACCTGTAATTAGCTATTGCATGCTGTCAGTCAGAACAGAATTATCACACAAATGCTAATAAAATTTGCTTTAATCATAACTGATTAGACTGCAATACAGGACCCTGATATTGCCACTTGACAAGTGTACAAAAATGTTTTTTTTATCTTTTGTGCTGGGGCAGGTGTTGTCATATCATGCAACATGTTCGAAGGCAGAAGTTGATAAATTCAAGGTAAGATTTAAGTTTTTATATACTAATTTCTGAAACTATAACTGTAAATTAATATTTTCTAGATTATCTGAGAGAAGTTTTACATCATAAACAGAAAATCGTAATTAAAAATTATTTACAATGTATATATTACATGTAAGGCTGTTAAGCAGGGAAGGTGGATAAAGGATAAAGAGGATAAAGAGCTGCAGTGCACAGCATCCAAGTCCCATTGTCCCAGTACCAGCTACTGGAACTGCATGTCAGTGTGGGTTTGGTGGCCTACTCAGCAGAAACCACCACAGGGAAGTCATACCACGTAGGAGATGAGAGGGAGACTAAAGAAAAAGAAAGGAACTGAGACTTTACATGCTTATGGTGTGGAAGCTGCCCTGTGTTTGCTAAAGAAGTGGAGCGTTCACTATCCAGATTGTGCATAGGCTCCGAAGGCTGGACAGGAAGGTGAGGGACCTTCTAACTCCTGTAAGCACCCTTGGCAGAATATGAAAGTGATGTGTTCTGAGTGTAGCATTGGTAGGGACCAATAATTACATGTTCTCTCTGAATCCTGCCTTGCCGTGGGCTAGAAAGTGGGGGGAACAGTGCTCTTGATCTTTCATCACTGCCAGAACTCCAGTGCTGCAGTTGTGATAGACTGTTTGTCTTTTCCTGCTTGAGGAGACACTTGGGAAATTTGGTGATGCTTCCCTTGCCTATGAGGAGGCAATGTTGGTAGAGGGCTCCTCAAAGCTCCCATGGGAGGCTCCCATGGTGGGTATCACTGTTGGTCTCCTGGACACACAGTGCATCAGAGACTGTAGTGAGGCCTGGGAAGGAGAGCTGGACTGCTGTGACTCCAGACTGGCATTTGTCCAGGTGAAAAAGAGCTGTTGGGTGCTTATTTTGACACTTGGCTGTCAGGCTGCAGCCTGCTTTCTGCACCACAGAGATGGCTGTGGTGAAAGGGAGCACACACGGCTGGCATAGAGCTGATCCTGCTGAGTGATCTGGGCTGAGGAAGGGCAGCTCTTGCTAGTTAATGAGTTTGCAGATTATTGCCCAGATGATACAGGGCTGTGCCTGGTATCTGTATTGATACCTGGGGATAAGGGTGTAATATTCTCCCTCCCCTGTAGTTACTGGTACAATTACCTACATTTGTGTATGCTGAAGATGAGATTACTGAAGTATGGCTGGAATCAGCATGCTTAAAGATCATCCAACACTACAGGAAGTACTTTTGTGTGTGCAGTAAGTTGTATTTAATGTTAGGCAAAAAGAACTGAACACTGTTGAGAAAGAGGAAAGAAAGTGGTAAAGGACCATCAATTTTCTGTTTTGCTTTTGTATTTCCATTTACCTTAGAATACACATCTGTAATATAATTTCTATGACTGCCAGGATTCCATCAGTATCTTTGTATGTACAAGAGGGCCATGCTTGATTTCAGTCAGCCATTGAAAGACAACTCTCCTTCACAGCCTCTGTAGTTCAGATAACAGCCTGCTATGTTTCTCTTTGGACTCAGATGCTCATGTAATGAGAAGCTATTCAACTTGTTTTCCCAGGTGACTTCATGACAAAGAAATGTCTTTTCATTATCCATTTGGCCTTGAAGGCATGCAACTATCCATTTAATGGCTAATAATAAGGTAAAAGGAAATGAAAAGCATTTATTCATTAATAATTCCAAAAGATATAACTCCAAAAGACACGTGTCATATAAAGAACATAGATGATAAAATAAGGAACATAACCAAGCTATGCCTAAAGTAAGTTAGGCTGTTTTTTCAGTAAAATTGTCCCTTCTCTATGTCTATATCCAGTTGTCTCACTTTCAATTCCTGACAAAATTTCTCTGAAGTAGTTTTTGTTAATGTTTTTGCACCACTGGATATAAACAAAACAAAAGAACAAAAACCCAGTGACAACCAGCATGTCCTGTGGGCCTGTGACACAGAGCTCATCCCAGAGAGGGCCATCCATCTGTAGGTGAAATTGCTGCAATCTCCATGCTCACAGCTGGCCTCCCTGCTGAGGTCTCCCAAGGCATCCTACCCTGAAACCACTGCTCTTTTTCCTGTTTGTTATATCGTTATATTTTGTTTAAGCCCTTTGTTATATTAGGATCATCTTCTAGACTTGACTGGCTAATAAACCATCCCTCCCTCTGGGGGTGTTTGGGACTAAATGTGTCCCCTGTGTCTGTGGTGATTTATTGGCAGGTGTCAGAGCAAATGTCTGTTCCGATTTACCCGATGTCCTGGTGCAGTCAGAGCAGAGGCACAGACACGACAGAAACGTCGAAATGAGAATGATGCCAGGAGATCACTATTGGCTCCTGACTGACACCCAGCAGTAATTAATCTTTGCAGCGACAATACACTGGATTTGACAACTTCTACACATATTGTCCCAAACATACTGTAACTGGATCCCAGAATCTTGGAAATAATTACATACTCTTGTAGTACAAGATTTTCTTTCCCTCTTTGTAATCTCATTTTTTATAGTTTTCATAAAATGTTTTCCATTAATTTTTATTTGCTCAGAATCTTGAGAATATTCTGATAAAAAGTGAAAAATTTCAAGTGTACCTAAAGTTTATTTTTCCTCTGGCTTTTACCAGTGAATTATTTTATTGGATTATAGAAAGCCCAGCAATATTGAAGTTGGAGGGGAGACGACCCACCTTGCATCGGTCAGCATCGACTCCACTTTATTCATCAATCAGGCACCTCTTATAATAGTGTTAATTCACTTCATGCATATTGCAAAATCTGAGCTCACAATAGGTCAGAGATAACATACCAATCCCTCCTTATGTTTCCAATACCAAGATTTGGGTTCTCAAAATTATTCTTGCTCTCCCAAAACAGCCAAAGATAGAACATCCACTTGTTATGAGAAAGCTGCCTGAGAACTCTGATGTGCAAGGCTCTCAAGGCCTTCATGTTTGTCACCTTTACTTGTAATTAAAAATAACCTGAGAACCTCTGCTGTTCACAGAAACAGGCTGTGAGAATCTGCTCCTCACAGCTGCCTTCTAGGCCATCCCTGAAAAAATCTCCAACACAGCAAGAGTAGCTAAAGTTGATTTTTTTTGTCTGAAATTTCATCAGGAATTTCTTACTATTAGTGGATGAATTCACAAACACACAAATTCACAAATATACCCATCTTTTTAATAATTAAACATAATCCCTCTGACCAGCTTCTGTAAAATAAATAACATTTATTTCTGTTTCTTGTCATCCCATCTAAGAATTAGTGAAGAAAACTCCACCTTAATAAGAAACCCTTAAGATGTTAAACCTTTCTCCAGATGTTTATCTGGGGAAAAGTGCAAAGTGCTGTTGCTGGTGGAGCTGGAAAAGGGAAGTTCACAGTATGGAAAAATAAAACATGAGTGTATGAAAAGAGACCGTATGATACAATTGGATACTAAATAGTTTTAGATTTTTTTTTAATTTTCAGGTTTAGATTATTATAGCATCAAAAAAGATTTAAATTAAATATACTGTTAAATTCACACAAACTGCATAATATTTTTTTAGGTTTTCTGATATGTGCCACATTACTGTGATTTCTGCTAGCATTCTTCCAGGTAACAGGAAGAAAAATTAAACTTTACTTTTCATGGCCATTTGCAAGTAAAACAAAAAAACACCACCTAGACTGCAATTTTTTCTGAGAATGTCTGAAGTTTTCAGCCTGGTTTATCACAATGCTTCTCCTCTCTTGCATCTACATAACTATGCTAAATTCAAACTGAATTTTGGCAGGATAAGCTAAAGCAATGCACCATTGAATCATACCCACATCAATATTAATTTTATTAATTAATGCATAAGGACTTAGAAGAAGTTAGAAATAGCTATGATTTTAAAAACTGTGGCAACTTGCTTCTCCCTTGTATTTTAGACTTAAAAGACTATTCTGTCATTTCTGTTGTGTACTAGTGCTAGTGCTATAAACATTAGTGTCATTGGAATAGACAAGGCACTTGAGATCTGATTAATCCAAGATTGAAGCTATTCTGTAGCAGCCCATAGCAAGCCTGTGCCAGGTTTTTCCTTACTGAAATTCAGGTTCTGCAAGCCTAAATATAGTTATGTGTTAGACAAATATAGATACATGAGTAAAGAACGGAGAATTATGTTCAGGACAGGATATTTATAGCAAGAGTTACTGATTTATGAGACAGTAATGAACAAGTCCTGTGACTTAGCAAGCAGCCCCACAAACACACACCACCTTTAAATTTCACCAATGTAGTTTCCAAAGAGAATATGTAAACGCTGTCCTATTATGGGAAATGTACAAGAAGCTATTTTTAAGAAGCGAGCCTAATTGCGCAGCTGTCAATGGCATAAGCCAGATCAATATTTAATGACTGTGATGCATTATTTATAGCCCTGGGAGAGATTCCCTTTTTTAGGTCAAACAGCACGCAGGAGAGATACACAATGGAAAATAATGTATCACCTGCTTTACAGAATCTTCAATTCAAAATGTAGCATGAATAACAATAACAATTTCTGCACTTCTCAGTTTTGTAGCCTGAGATGTGGCTATTTAAGATCTACTTTCACATAGGGAGGTTTTTGTGTCTTTCTTAAAAACACTCCTTTAACTGCAGAATGATGAAAAAAGTTTTAACCAGAAAAAAAGAAACAACTTTTAAGACTGCTACTGTATATGACAATGTAAATGGTTGAATCCATGAAAGATGATGGATCTATGTGATTTTGATACTTGGAGTGAGTTATGTATCATTTAACATTTGTTATTCATGCCTTATGCACCCTTAAATGTATAATGATGGGAAACACAATGAGAACAAATGAAACTTTTGTGCTGGTTTTATCTTCAATATTTGAAACAACAGGGAAAGCATTCCTTGGCTATGTTATTCTCTGCTGTGATGTCATCTTTCAATTTAGAACAACTTTAATTACTTTTATAAGCTTGTAATTAAATAATTTTAGTAGTTTAAAATAATTACTTCATAGTCTTCC